TAATATTAAGAAATGGGCATACAAAATATGTGTTTTATGAGTGTCTTGGGTCATTAAGAGAAAGAAGCTAAAAGAGACATTAACTATCAGGTATTGCTACAATTCATTAACACTTTTAGTAACATTATTTATATATTGTCCTCAAAGACTGCTAGTTTACAAGCACCCATGTTCAGTGTTTGCCCTTCCCCTTCATAGTTTTTCCTTCTTTCTTCTAAGTGACTCAAAAAGAACAGAAATTGTCTTGGCCATTTTTAGACCTGACCCATGATTTTTAGGATAAAATGAAAAGTTTATCTAAAATACCTCTTGGGATTTTGATAAAAAATGAATATATAGATCATAATTTTCTAATTGGCATTGTTAGTAAGAATACCATTAAAAAATTTTTGTTTTGTTAATCCTTACCGGAGAATATTTTCCATTCATTTTTAGAGAGAGTGGAAAGGAGGGGGAGAGACAGAGAGAGAAACATCGATGTGAGAAAGACACATCGATTGGTTGCCTCCCTCATATGCCCTGGTCAGGGTCAGGCATCAAGCCCACAACTGGTACATGCCCTTGACCAGAATCAAATCTGGGACACTTCAGTTCCTGGGCTGATACTCTATCCACTTAGCCAAACTGGCTAGGGCCCATTAGTATTTTTAAGTTAGTCTTGGACCCAGAAACTTTGCTGGACTGTCTTATTAGTTCTAACACATTGCTTATTGCTTCTCTTGGATTTTCTATGTATTCAATCATCATCTACAAAAAACAAAAAAAGATCTCATCTCTTTCAAGTTATGTCTTCATATTTTCATGTCTTATTGTTAAGATGCATAGTCAACAGTGATCATGGGCATCCTTATCTCACATTGTTATTCCATAGCCAAAAAGAAATGGAAACCATCCTAGATGTCTAATTTCATATGTGTTGCATTACATGTGTAACTCAGTGTCCCCAGTTTTCAAGACTTACAGGATTGAGCTTCCCATAATATCCAGTATTTTCTATTTCATTGTTCTACCCCATCCTTCAGGACCATGGAAAGTCCAGTCCTCTCGGCAGTTATTTCTGATGATCTCCAGTATATTCTGGTTTTTGTTTTCCACCTTCCATGCTTGACAGCTGAC